TGAGCTCAAACACAGGGGACGGAGAGAATAGATCTGTAACAGAGGCATGACGAACTAGTGCTGAATTAGTTTCTATCTTTTCTCAATGGCTGTTGAAATCTACCATGACAGAAACAGCATCGATTTCCATCCTGGGATTTAGAAATGATTGGGTCTTTGTTGTAAGTGGCCCATTTCTAAAAAAAAAAAAGAAAAAAAAAATGGACAATCCTACAAGATTTTTCTCAAACTTATGTCTTTTTTTTTTTTTTAATCTGAAAAGCAAACACCATTCAGGGGTTTTCAATCTCTATGTAACAGTCTTATACAGAACTCAAACATGTAACAGTCACACTTAATTAGATGCAATTTCTCTAGGAATCATGCTGTGTAATTCTGGCTCCCCATACTTCATCCTTCAAACTACCTATGAGCTGAAGTTATTGTCATGAATAACTGAAGGATAAGCAAGCGAGTTGTTGTTCCTTGAGAGCCACTAGACTTGGATTTTGGTTATTGGGAAGGGCAAAATACAGCTGCATTCCATCTCTCCCTTGAGAACAGGGAATCTCTACTGATCATCTAACCTGGCCTCTGCTGAAGTCAGAAGATATTCCTGTAAGCTTCAGTGAACTAACATAAGATTTCCAATGCATGTTTTCCCCATTTTTTTAAAGGCTTTTAGAGAAATCCTCTGAGCAATTTAAGTAGCTGTCCAGCTTTTGGCTGGAACTGAGTTAGTTTTCTTCCTAGCAGCTGGTACAGTGCTGTGTTTTGGATTTAGGATGAGAAGGTGTGCTTTAGTTGCAGGCTGGGGTTAAACCATGGCAGTAGCAAATTCCACATGCTCCTGTGTTGCTCTTTTCAAAACTAGAACTCCTAAAAATTTCTATTACAAACAATAATTTTACTAATTGGGGAAATGAAGTGCAACAAAACTACGTCATCATTTTTCTCAGTCAATAATTAATTTGTTGTTACCACAGACAATGTTAGCATGTTTATTTTTTAGTAGCTCTTTATGTGCTTATGACCCTAAGAATTTTCTCTCTGCTAACAATGTACTGTAGTTTATTTCTGTTTATTTCTGTCATTGCTTAATTTCCTGTTTTGTAACAGAACTCTATTAATTTATCATTTTATATACAGGATTATTTATCTTCCTGCTTCATCTTTGTTTAGCCCCTGCAAATACATTTTTTTACTGCATGTTCCTCTCTTTTATATTTTATTCAACGACTTTATGTAAATGACATAACTTTTTTTCTTTTCCTGCATCTAAATTACTGAAGATTTTCTCAAGTGTTTTGGTCCTAAATGTATGTTATGCTCTCTCCATATTTTTGTGCTTATTGCTGTGTGCCCTTCAATCACTGTTTTATAGTTCACTTTATTCTTTATCTTCTGTATTATATTTTCCAGCTGCAGTGCTTTTTGCTTCCACTCCTGTTTTTAGACACTATAATTATCATACAGACATGACACTGTGTTATTAGCTTCCTTTATTATATTATTTTACCTACTTTTAGTTCTCATTTTTAGTTTTGGCTCATACTAGTAATTTTCTCCTCCTGTACCAAGACCTGTAGAGCATATTATAATTCCACCACATCTCTCCCCAACCTGCTCTGTCTGTTTCTACTTCCCTTCCCCATTGTCGTGTCGTAGTTGATACCATCTTGCTGAATAAATTATCAAGATTGTTCTACAAGATATCTGTCATGTGGCATGTGACCTCTTTTAAATCTGAGATTTAGCTATGAATTCCATATTAGTACTACATGAGCTGCTCTGATGTAAATGTGTAGGAACTGGTGTCTGGCAGTTTCTTCTGAAGACTTCCTATCTTTGTTCTGCCTTCCCGTCCTTCTATAATTTATCACTTTTAGGACACAGTGACTTTGCAAAGGATGTTTTGCCCCAATTACAACTTGATTGAAGTCAAGTTCAAACAGATGTGCTCAGTACACAATCTTGTAAGGAGACTACTTATTACATATTAGAAAATAACCACACATGGACACATGAAAAATATGCAGGTTTTTCCTCCACCTTTTTTTTTTTCACAATTAATAAAGGGTAGAAGTATCACATTATGTTTATGATAATCAGTTCCAGATTTTTACCTCATCCAGGAGAAGGTAAAATTGGAAATCTCTGTTAAAACATTCTCTAAATATTTTCTCAAATGTTCTAGATTAAGAGAATATTTTTACTGTTTAGCTTTTATTAACATCTTAAAGTACATCCTTTAGAAGTGAAACAAAAGACCCATTGGTGACAAAATTTTCAATGAGAAACATTAATTTTAGTGTTTTCTTTTTCTGTTATGAAAATGGTGCAATAATCTCAGACTTTCCATAACTGTAAGAAACATTAAAAAGTGACAGAGTAAAAACAGATTGGAGGAAGATGAGTGAAAAAATAAAGCTTTTCTGTTATCAGGCCTCTCTGGGCTGTTTCTGAGAGCACAATAATCAATCTGATATTTAATCCCATGTGCTGCTCTTTCAAGTGTAAAGTTTCTAAGACACATTTCTACCTCTCCCTGTGTACCACAGCTCTTCACACAGTTGATGCCAAGAAGGGGGAATGATTAACTTGTCTTCTAATAAGGTCTGTATTTATTGTGTAACTTCAGTTCCTGCACTAAGTTCTGAGCCATGTTGTTAGAGTGAAACTCTTGCTAGATGGATTTACATTCAAGCCAGTCTTTGTTTCATAACTGAAAGGAGGGTAGCACATTTGGAGTCCCCACATATAGTCTGTTCTTGATGGTATAAGACTGTTATTCATTAAACACATAGAGATTCCTTAGGTCCAGATTGGCACTCAATGCACAAAATCCCAAGAAAAGGAATGAGAAAGGACTTAACGGCAATGATATTTATAAATTTCCATTTGCTTTAAAAATTATACTTTAACCTTTCAACTTAACTGTAATTTAATCATTTATTTTACATGGGAATTAGTAGGCTCTAAAAACGTCCCAGAAGATGTTTGAAGGCACTCAGGTGCTGCAATGAAAAGCACAATAAGCTGGATACAGGTAAGGACTCAGGCAGAACTATGCAAGTGTTAGTTTATGATCATCCCAATTCCCACTCCCCAATATCTCTCCTTTCTCCCCATTATTAGATGGTCTTATCCTTTATGAGGTCTCTTTCTGCCCTTTCTGAGGCTTTCAGAGATTTGTTTTTATTACAGGAGCATTTAGAATTTAATTTCTTGTCATTGTGACTCTGTATTAACTGGGTATACTTTATGTACATGAATACGTCTCATTATCCCTGTATCTTTTCCCAGAAGAATTATACAAGGGGCAATATTCACTGTGCTCAACTAGGCAAAGCAAACTGATAATTTCTGTGCCAGTAATTCAGAAAAAATATAAATCCACCACACAGAAAATCCAGTCTTGAACAAGCAAATCATTTACAGGCAGTTTTCACCCAGTTTCCTTGGAAGCATTATTCTCTTGATATATCTTGCATCACAATAGCAGACAAATCAGCTTGATTTTAAAAAGTGTAGAAGACTGTGTGGGTCTGTGTGCATAGGTCTGACATCCAGGAAGAGAAAAGAATGATAGAAGACAGCTAATTCTTAGTTCAACCAAGTGGTTTTCCATATGTTGAAAGAGTATATTTGATCACAAGGTGAATAATTTACAGAAAACTTTGGAATCTTTTTGGGGAAAAGGACATATTTTGGGGAGTTGGGAAGAGAAATCTCTGTATTTTATCAGAATTTATTCAAGCCTGAAGAATGACATTTCATACAGCATAAAGCTCTGAAGTTCAGAATTCAACTATGGGAGAGTTTAGTATAGATATGCAAAATGTGGCATTTCACATAAAAAATCAGAAGTACACCAAAAGATAGAGAAATGTGTAAGTGTTTTGTTATATTTGTTAGATGCAGCTTGATTAGATAACAAGGTAAATGGAGATTATAGTAAAAGTGTGGTGCGGCATAATGCAAAAATGCCTGTAGTGGTACAGATGAATAAAACCGAGAGAAAAGTATTCCCAGTTCATAAGAATTTGCATGCAAATTCAAGAAAATATTAGTTAATGTTTAAGGGCAAATATCTGTGATTTATACAATGCAGCAGAGAAGTAGTGGATGGATTTGCAGAAGCCTCACAAAGAATACAAAAGAAAATAGGAATTACAACAGAAAGATAATGACTTTCACCACACTTTAAACCAGATTGTGCAGTTCTCCAACACCCACAGTGAAAGAGGAAAACAGCTGGGAGGTGGAGGAACAACAGATTCTGCTAGGTGAAGACTCTTACAATATTTAATTCCTCCACTGCACAGCGCCTGCTGTGTTAATGCTCACCAGCGTTGTCAATGTGCTGGTGCTGTACTGCACTGTGTTCACCAACACAGTGGGTGCTTCCTATCTGCAGTATTTGGCAGTAGGCAGGAGATTTCTTGGGCTGGAGAATGTTCTTTTCAAGCTTTGTGTCCTAGTTTCATACACAGCTCTTTTAGTCTGCATCTTGTAAGTTCTTATTTTCATCACTTCCAGTGCCTTACCATTTTTTTTTTTAGTTTACTCATATTTCACAGCCCAACCCTAAGAAGCCTTAGAGAAATTTTCACCAAATGTTTTCATTAACAGTATATAGTCTAAACTGGCAATATTGGAACCTCTTCTCCTTTATGCCTGTCCATGACCTTTGTGATCTCACAGGAACATCTTAGATCCTGATGAACCCTATTGATGAAATCTGGCGGCATTTTACCCACCTAAAGTAGTCTGGGAAAAAAATCTTATCAGTTCAGATGGATAGGTTGGATATTGGGGAATATTTCTTCAATGGAAGTGTGGTCAGGCATTGGAAAGGCTACCCAGGGAATGGTGGAGTCACCATACCTGAAGGTGTCCAAAAATCATGTAGATGTTTAGTGGTGGGATTGGTTGTGCTTGGTTGGGAGCTGGGCTTGATGATTATAGAGCGCTTGTCCAACCTTAGCCATGCTATGATTCAGCATCTCTTTCTGCAGGTTTCCCCATCTCTGAATGTCCACTGAGTCTCCCAGTGGCTGCCCAAAGACTTGTGCAAATCAGATCTTTCAGTTCATATTGCATTGTATATGACCTTTATTCTTCCTTGTTCATTAGCTGAATGAGGTAAGTTGTTGTTTGTTTGGGGTTTTTTTTGGTTTTCTTTTTTTTAATTTGTGTTAAAGTTCAAGGCTATTTTGCTTCCTCAGAGTCTGAAACTTAAAAATTTTAGAAACTTGTGCCCAGCAGAAACACTTTTCCCCCCCGTCTGATTCAGGCTCTTGTTCTCAAAGTAATGATATCAGATTAATTAGCTACTGGAATATCCAGCAGTGCAGGTTGACATGCTTGTCTGTCTGTCTGTCAGAGTAACCTCTACAGGCACAAGCAAACAAAACAAAATGGCCAGTGCACACTAATTAGTCAAATGTTCAGAGCAGTTCTGAATCAGCTGAGTGAGATAGTACCAATGTACCACAGTATTTTTAATCTGTAGCCTGGCAATGCAAAGCCAAAATAACTTTATTGTCAAGGCAGATGAAAAGTTCCTTGATGTTGAAGCAAAATACCTGGTCCAGTGTGTTCAGTCTGTACCTTAAGTCTGTGTAAGGCATCAGGATGTAATGAAAGAGGAGCAAAGGCATTGATTTTCTCAATTGATCAAATCATAATAGAATAATAATATCAATCTTCTAATCTAATGATGTTTCTTGTAGTTTTATTTTGTATAAATAGGTTGTTAAGGGGTACAGTTGATACTGCCTAAGAATTACTGAGGAAATGCATGTAAAAGTCAGTTTTAGAGACTCAGATTGACCAATTATGCTCTCTTTAGATGACAAGAATCAGTGCCATGCATAACCCTTTTTCAAATAGTACTGAATATTTTATCATATAATAGAAATTGGTTGTACATTTCAGTTAAATAGAGACTGTAAAGAGGTCCATATGGAAAGCTTGAAAATGTTTGTCAAGTGTTATAGTTCCTTGATTTTCATGCTGGAAAAATACTTGAATTAATTTTACAAGGTTAAGATATTCAAAGTCATTTGGGCCCTCAAAAGATTATGAAAATTGGGTTCTATTAGTATACCTAATCTTATCAATACTCATCAGTATCTTTACTTAAAGTCAGTAATTACTAAAAAAATTTAAATCAGTAATTTATTTTATCCTAATTTAAAGAGAAGCATGAAAAATGCAGCACCTGCTATATTTATTACATCATTATACAAATTTTTGTTTCTATCATTTTATGTAGCCCTTTTCCTTAATGAATGTTTCTTTTTTTTGAAAAGGAAAATGAAAAACCTTTAAAAATATCTGCTCCGAACATCAATGGAGTGGCTCCTGTTCCATTTCTTCTTCTCCTTTCTTTTGACTATTCCATAGTAACTAGGGATTCTGAATTTCTGAAAACTAGTCTGCTCCAATTATATCTTGTTAGTACTGGGAGAGGGAGGGAGGGGAAGAGGAATTGCTCATTTTTTGAATCAACACAGATGAACTCCCTGACTTCATTCCGGAGGCTTTCATTCCTTTTACAGGGAAACAATGAGAATGAGTTTCACTGACACTACCAACAAGACTTCTGGATTGCTTGGTTGTTTATTTACCAGTGTAATATACAGCAGTTACAGTGGCATTTTCCATCTGTCCAAAGTGTTTTGGGGAGAGAGAGAAAGTGAATCCAATACTTACTTCCAAGGTAAAAATCGATTTTAACTAGAACCAATGCATTTTATATTGCTGTGCAACTCAAGACTAACTTAGTATTCATGATGCTTTTCTTCATGCAGTCCTCATGTGGTGTGTTTCATTTGCAAAGTGGCTTGCACAGGAATAAAGGCCCAGAGGAATAGAACCGTTCTACTTTATACAAAAAGTAAATTAGTTTTTCTTAGCATTCTATCTCTTCATCATCTGGAAAACCTGCTGCCAGTGAAATTTTCTTCTGATGTCCAGTGGATTTTGTAATAAATTTGTAGCTTGTTTAAAAGGCAGCTGCAGTTTGCACATAATCAGCAAACATCTGCAGTAACTCAAAAGGAAAAGGTAAACCATTACCACTAGACAAAATGATCAGGGAATATCAGGTACAGCAGATGCAAATGTTAGTAATAACTGAAAAGCAAGTAAGCCAGACTGCTTTAGGAGGCTCAGTAGTGTCCAGGAAAAATAGGGGTTGTTGCCTGTCCTGACACACAGAACAACTGTTAGATGGATCCAATAATGTCCACAGGAGAAAGTCTAATGACAATTATCAAGATTGATGGAAAATGTTTGGTTTTGCTAACTTCAAACAGTGTAGATGCAATTTTGTATGGTATCCACTTAGTGAATATTGATGAATATTATAATTGTCCTCACACTGATAACATGTCCCTAAGATCAGAATCTGGCACTCTCATGCTTTTGCTGTAGAAAGAGGACTATTTCCACACACACCCAGATGACTGTAGTATGCATTTTGTTCATTTGTTAAAGTAGATAACACCCCAGATATCCAGCTTTTATTGGCTTTTGCATTTTCAAAGTAGTAGACAAAATCTTTGCTGAGACTCTGAATCTGCTTTGGAAAGCCTGTTTATTTTGGTTTTGTTTTTTTCTTTGGAGGTACAGTAGGTTCTTAGTGAAGTTAAGTGGCTTTCCCTAAGGCATAAGAGTTGGGAGAGAGAAAAAGAAAGAATTAAGACAGAGTTTTCTGGCTCTCTATTTCATGTTATTATCCATCAGACCAAGCCAGCTCTACACTCAGCACTCAGCATGTTTCAAAGTGCTTTCCTGGGAGGATACAACTGACACAGAGGGGAAAACTTGTTGTTTGGGTGCGTGCTGTGTGTGGCCATCAGGTCTATCACACTGTTTCAAACAGAGCATGAGAGTCACACCAAATCACAGCAACCACTAAGTGACTTAGTAAAATTCACAGGGGAGGTCATCATGTCCACACCAGTTTTTTGTCCTCTTTCCATTCCTCCTACTCAGTAGGCAAACAAATATGTTCTGTGTGGATACATATCACAACAGACTGACAATCAGTGAGCAATCAAAACAAATTACTGACAAAATCCCTATGTCAACTTAGTAGCAAATCTAAACACCACAAACTTTACTACAATGAATATAATAGGGAAAAGAAAATGCTGATTTCATAATGCTGCCATAAACAAAAGGAAAATAATTAACTGAAACCCTAAGCAGGAAATTACATCAATTTAGTTTCTCTTCTACTGTCCTCATTTTAAAATTCCTTTTGTCTGTCTGTCTTAACTCTATCTCACATAATTTTTCTCATTTTTTTAATGTTCTGATGATTTTTCTTTCTTCAAGATCAGCTTTTTGTATGCATAGTTATACCCACTCTTCCCATATGCATCAAGATGCCACACTTATGCCTCTTACTAATTAATCTTCTCTGTTCTGGCTTTAAATTTTAAACATCAAAAGATCTTGGAAGTCTTGAAAATCTTACTACTTAATGGTTCATATTTAACTCATGTTAAACTGCTTTTATCTTGCAAATGTCAGTCCTTCTGACTGGTTGATCTTCCTCTGGGTTTCGTGATCAGTTTAGTAATCATGAGTTAGAGCATTGCAAGTATTTAGCAATATATTTCAAGTTCAAGTGAAAATCTGTATGACTGGAAGGTGTTAATAAAGAAAGGAAAACCTAGAACTTCTAGGATATTTAAGTCACTCTTCTAACCTAAGACTGAGATTTACATTAGGACCTGAAAAGCAAATTCCACTAGTGACTGACATTTTTCTTTCCTGGAAAAGAAAGTTTTGGAAACTTTTAATTCCCCACTGAAGTGAAAATGGAGCCACTTCATACTTTTCAGAGAGGGGAAATGTTATCATAAAGTTTAGATTCTGCATTGGCTTATGAGTTCTGGATTCCATATCAAAATATTTTCATTCCACACCACTTTGAATCAAGCAGAACAGGAGCTTAAATGCTGTCACAGACGAGTATGTTAATTGGTCAGCGACAGCTTTTGATTCAGTATTCCGGCCCAGGTCTTTGGAAATGGTTTCAGTAGCTTTTTGAACAATTGGTTCATTGTATATAATGGTCTTAGACCAGTGAACCAAATCCTGCCTGCCTTTCTCTTTAGTTTCAGTGGGAGTTTATAGGCAATGCGAACTAAAGGGAGAATTTTGGGTAGGTGGAATGCAATTATGAGACTGGAATTCATCCAGGTTTCAGGCAGAAGGAGTTGTGAATCTGTCAAGTGGCTATGAAACATGTCTCAAAGTTGTCCCCAAAGTAGAGGGAAAACAGTATAAGACTAAGAATTCTGTTCCCTCTCTCTGCTTTCAACGTATGGAGGTAAAGGGGAAAAGTGAGAAGAAGCAAGAGCTGCTTCACAGAATGTTCAGAGAAAACCAGAGGGAAGTGCCGAAGAAGGGAGAAAATGCCAGTGACTGCCACAGCATGTATTTTATTTTATTTTATTCCTCATTCTGTTAGCAGGTGGTAAATAGAAGAAGTGTGTCTAATGCTCATGAAGGTAATAAAACGTCTTGAGGTATGCAGAGTGTGGGGTAGCTTTCAGTCCATATTTTATGTAATAGCCCTTTGTAGGAAATGCAGAGGGAGAGGAAAGTAAGGTGCAGAAACCTCATCAAAGTTCAATTTTCTGAAGCATTATAATTGGCTAAAGAGAACTGTGTGACCAGTTATCATTAAATTATGAGAAGTCCTCTATTTACCTCTCCCCACTTGCCTGGAGTCCATAAATCCTGTCTAGTGAAATGCCTTCTCAGGAATCAGGCAGAGATGTGGTTTAAGCTGAGCCTATTTTTTGGTTCTACTCTCTTGTAAGAAATAAGGATAGATTTTTGATGCTTTCAGTCAGTCTCCAAATTGACATAACAGTAATTAGAAGTGATTTTCCTGGTTTCTATCTCCCCCTTACCAGTTCAGTCTTCCTAGGCAATAACATTCTCTAGAGATTAAAGTGACAGACTGCAGTTAAGTTAGAAACAACACGTCAGAAATAGCTGCTGATTGCTGGATTGGCAATGTTGGACTCCAAGAAGCCCCACAAAAATATATGTCAGAAAGTGGGAAAACTTTTATTTTTCAGTCAATTTTCTCCCTGGCCCTTTGCTCCAATGAGGTGGTATTTTGAAAGTCCTGTCTGTTTTCACCTGTATGTTGAAATACCATGTTATTTAAAATGTTTCTGTAATTTTTCCTTTACTTATTAATTTAAAGTATTTTTCTGAAGTTAAAATTAGTTCAGAGACTGTTAGGAAGAACAGTGCTCTTTTGTTTGGCATTTTTTTGCCCAATAGTATAACATTTCAATAAAAATGATGTACAGGTCAGATACATGTACAAGGAAAATATATGACATTTTCCTAATCAGATTGTCAAGAATATGAGCAAACCCAAAGCATAACCCCAAAATTCAGACATGTGTGAAACAGAGATATTCTTTGGAACCAAAAAATCCTAAAAGATAAAAAACCCCCCTGTTTAATTCTTTAAGAAACTGTAATTAACTTTTGTAATAAATGTTCCTTCTAAATGGCTACACAGGGAAGCATCTTCTGAGAATGGAATATAAAATAATCTTAAGGCAATTACAAAGAAGTTTTTGATTTGCAAAATTTAGTATAATTATGTAATTTTCTTTTGTGTGCAAGCAGGCTTGGCATTGAACTCCCACAACATGATGAGTCATATGGAGCTGGTTATTTCCTTGAGAATAGCAAGAAGCAAGTGAAAATTATCATTTGAATACAACAGCCCGTGAGTACAATGCATGAATCTAATTTTACAGTAGAATCAATGGCAAAAGTTCACCCTGATACTTGAAGATGCTGCATCAAAGGTGTTATCTGGAGCGCTTGAAGGCCTGACAGGATGTGCAGTGTTAAAATGCTCCTTTCCCGAGATGTGAAAATGCTTTCAATCACCACCTTCAGATGGGTTCACTCTGTTAAAGATTTTGTCTCTTTGCCAGTAAGTTTGTCATGAAGGAGCTGTAAGAGTGTGTTTGACTTTATTAAGCACTGTGAAAGGTGAGCATATTGAAGACATTTAACAGGTTCCTTATATCAGACTTGTTAGAAATGGAAAGCTTAGTAAATTAAATGTTGCCCAACTGAATACATGACAGTATATGTGTAGATATAAAAATTTGTAGTATATGTAGGCAAAGTAAAAGTGTATCTAATTAGAGATACAGATAATCTAGACTTTAATGACTAAATGTGTTCTCTTGGAACAGAAAATTGCTGATCTCGGTGATATTAGTCCACAAAATAATTTGGGTTACATCCCATTTTTGTTTCGAGCCAAGCAAATATTATTAATTCATTTAGAAATAATCTGCTATTTCTTTTAGTTTTCAAAGTCCTTTTTACTGCAAAATTTATTCCTGAAAGGTGCTTTATCACATTCTGAAAGTTCAGTGTTCACCAAGAACAGGGATTCATCTGTGAAGACAGACTTTGAGTTACCTTTGGTATTTTTCAAGAAATGCAAATATTTATATTTTTTTTACAATTTTTGTTTTGTATAAACAATTATTAGAATTAAGTCCCTTTAAAAAACACAATCAGATGTTAGTGATGCCCAGAGACAGGTGACAGGTAACGTGAATAACTCAGGAAATGTTAAACATAAAAACCCTCTTTGGCAGTTAAGGTCGTCAAATAGGTTTTCCCAGACAGGCTGTGAAATATCCACTCTTGAGGATAATGAAAATGAGACTGGCCCAAGGCCCCTGACATCCCACCCTAATTGACCCTGATTTGGAGTTGGAGTAGCTGAGCTCAGGAGGTCCCTTCCAACCTCAGTGATTCTCTGATAAATATTAATCAATAAAGAGGATTATTCAATGTTTTCAGAGAAAGGAATTTCTAATTAATTCACCCTTTTCAAAATGAAATATGCCACTACTAACACGGTTTTTAGAGTAGGAATCTATATTGGAACTAATTTTTTTTCAGTGCATTCTGACTCTGGCAAGAACTTGTTGTGCCATCTCTCATCATTAAGACATACATGACATGTTCACAGGACCAAACCAAGTGCTTTTTACAGGACATATGCTATGTGACTTGAGACACATTAAAAGATAATTAAGCATATTAAACAATAATTTGATTTATTTCATATTTGTTTTATATGGGGATATAAAAACTGATTCATGCCTAATTCATTTCCAAGGCAATATCTTTTCATGGCACAGATGTTTAGTGAGCAGAGTGAGCAGTAACAATGTTGTCTGTGCTGCTCATGTAGTGGCAGAGAAAAACTTGACCAGACAGTCTGTAATCAAAGAATCAATCCCATAAAGAGGACAAATACATTTGTCCCTGAATACTTCTAAAATAGGTTGATCAGAAGTTGATCACAACAAATAATGTGAGGAGTGATAAAAACAGTGAAGGACATTTAACTAGGAGATGAAAAAAAGAAAACCTAAATTCTGTTCCAATGAGTTTTTTTCCCAGTGATGAACAAAAGTGACTTTTATCATAGGCACAAACATAAATAAATTGTGTTAATTATTCTTTTGATTTTCCTTGCGTAAGGATGATTGCTTGAATACATGAAAATTGCACAATAGATTTAAGATCAACAAAATTACCATTTCTTCTTTATCTAAACCAGGTATAGATTTATTCTGATTTTACAGATAACAAAGAATTCTAAAAATTGAAAATAGAAATATGAAGTTAAATATGCAAAATGTTAAATGCAAAGTTTATAATTAAAAAAAAACAAGTGATCTTCTATGTTAAAATATATTCTGGTTTAGATCGCTGGTGTGTTGTGAGTAATCCCTTGCTATAAAACATCATTTATAAAACACCACTTAACACATCTTGTATGAAGTATCTATTATTAGGAGGTTGTTGATTTGTAAAGAGGAGAAGAATACTCAAAGGTAGAGGTGAGATAAAGGATGATATTCCGCTTTTGTAAGTACAGTTTTCAAGGAGGCAAAACAAGCCATGGAAAGTTTTAGCAGTTATTATTCTGGAACACTATTATTTTAGGAATTCTTAAGAGAATGAATTTAGAAGTCAGATTTAGAAACGCACAGAACTTGCAACATGGATGTGAAAAATAAAATGTTGCATTTGAGAGCTTTTCCAATATTATCTTGGCACAATGTCAGTCATTCTCAAACGTTGCACAGCCATCAAGGTCATCCAGCAAACATCACACTGCAAAGAAAACCTCCCACTGGGTTGGCCTGTGACACTGATGTGATTTGGAGGGAGCTCTGGAATGATTTTCATGGTACCAAGTGACTCAGAGAACAAGGGTCTCCTCTCACATGGTCCATGGTGTGGCTGTGCTTGTCCTTCAGAGTCTTTATTTTGATGTCTCTTATTGTTAATTCATTTTTTACAAATTCCAGACTTATTTCCCGGGGTGGAACTGTGTTAGGAATCCGGGAAGGCAAAGTGTGCTTAAATGGGACATTTAGGTTATGTTGGCTAAAGTTTTGTATTCCACCAGTATTCTGAAAGCAGTTTGTGCTCTATTGAATTAAATGAAAGATTTATTATAAATTATTTGTTTTACAAGTAAGAATGATTGTGTCTGGAGACTGAGGCCGTTGTCTGAGCAAGAGTCCAGCCTAATGAAGCTGAAAGGAGGGCAGGTCTGAGGTACTTCTGTGTTCCAAGCCCTGGCTTTGCCTGGTGTCCAGCCAGGCTCTGGCTCTTCACACAACCTGAATTGAAACAATGGCTGAGAGTCATCATTCCAGTGGGGATGATCAGGCTGGAATTATTATTTGATATTAGCAGTTTCTTCACCAGCCCCATAATGATTTACAAAATGTGCATTCTGATATTAATGTACACTTATATAATGTGGTCTGAATAAATTGTATCCACAAAACCTGTTTTTTTGGGGGTCAGACTTCACAACACATCTTTGATTTCAACTCCAAAGAGTCAATCTCCAAACTTCCACAGTGGTCAGGACACTAAACTGCTCCTTTTGATAGACAGGACAACTTATTAGCATTTTTTTCTCCCTGTTTGTCATTTTTCAGAAAAGATCTGATTTTGAAGGCAGACCCCGGGAAGTTTTTCTCATGATAGCTACAGCAGATAGTGTTGAAATATTGTTTTTAGGACTTGTTTACCAACATGATTTTCCTTCAATGTTTTTCTAAATTAATAAAATTGGTGTTTAATCTCCGTCAATCATCTATTTCTATTAGGATGTAAGTGCACTTTTTTAATTCATATATATGTATGCTATCATGGAAACCCCCATTTTTAGATCTTGGCTGGGTTATGCAGGGCTCTCTGCAGACCTATAATAAAGAAACAAGTTTTTACTCCAGAGAATATACAAAATACATGAAAGAGAAGATGAAATAACAGGGCAAGACAGACCATCAAGATTGGAGAAGAGAAGGAAAATAACATAAAAAATGAACAGAACTAAGCAAAAAAGCAAAAGTCACTGATGTCTCCCACTATAACAAGAAACATAAATTTTATGATATCTGATCAAATATGTTCTTAGGTGCACAGATTTTACAAATAGTAATAATTAATAATATATACTTAATTTATTTCTAATTAATTAACTAATTTCATTGCTTTCTTTACATTTTAGGCAATGACACTCACTGTTTCTCTCTACTTTTTAGGTAATTTTTGATTTCTCTCAGAATTTTGAGTGCTTTTGTCTTCAGGGTCTTTGGCTTATCTGGTCTACTTCTCAGTTTTATCAGTAGTGTCCTCTGTGGACAGTTATTTCCTTAAGTATTTTATGCAATAAATAACTGATTTTGAGAACTGATCTTTCCTGCTCTAATTACAGAGATGCTTAGAAGTAAGTTGTATTGTTTTTGTATTATATATAGAATATGCCCTTGGTCAGCATTCTACATAATTGTCAACTCTGTATAATCAAGATTCTAGACATGTTTCTTCCACCAAGAAGAACTTGACCAGAGCTAGTTTCATCCTAACAAAAGGTTCCACTTCCCTGTTTTCTCACATTCTGCACTGGAAATTTTTTAATTTGAATTATTTCTTATTCTCTAGCTTTTCCTATGTTCATATTTACATCTACAGTCATGCATCCTACACATGCAGATTTATGAAATCCTTAAAACTTGAGAGAAACATATGTCTAACTAAATACACACAAATTAATTCCTATTTGAAGATTATAATGCTTTTTGGGTTTTGGTGATTTGTCATATTAGACTATCATAGAAATAGTAAAACTTTGCATTGTAATGTTCTCGAATTCCCTCAACACCTGTGTTAAGGGCACACAGTTCTGCTGATGAATGTCCCATTCTTTAAGTAGTGATATGTCATTAATCACATTAAGAAATAGACCTAACGAACCATAAATTAAAAGTAAGACTGTGTTACTAGCTCTCTTTTTAGTAGAAATTAAATAGTCTATTAATATCTCTGCATTTAAGATAAAGGAACAGCTGGATATGTTACTGCCATGCTGGGTCCTTTTCCAAAGCAATGCTCCCCATCACAGGGACAGTTCAGTCCTTGCCCTGTACTCTGGAACTGTGACAGAATTCACTCCTGTGTCTGTGACTTTCCTCTGAAGATTGTGTTCCATATTGCACACTGTGCTAATCATAGCCAGAGGATGGGCAAATTACTGAAGTCTAATCCTGATTTATTCTTTCTGTGAATAGAATTAGAAAACTGTTTGGCATTATAGCCTGAAGCAGTCTGGGAATGATATCCACAACTGGAGCTATTTCCTCCAACAGTTATGTTGAAATTGTGATTATCAGAAGCTGCATTATTTAAAAAAGAAAGTTACGGCAAGGAAGAGATATAATTAGCATAATCTGTTCTTTAAAAGCTATACCTGCCATTAAAGTTTTAAGGAAATAAAATCTTAGCTGAAATCATCTTTGTATTTTACTGACATTCATTTCCATACCGTTCTGTCAGAACAGCATAAACTTGGTGTTGACAAAGTCTGAGATTTCAAAGTTGTGTTCAGTTTATGTAATTTTCATATGTCTGTAAGAATGTAACTGGTTTTCTCAGATTTCATACAAATTTCCATTTAACTCCCATCATTTTATAACACTAAGATTCTGCCTTTGTCCTTCTCTTCTTAAGGCTGAACAACCCAGTTTTCTCCATGAACATTGTGTTCCTGCTTCCTAATGGTCTCGATGGCCTTCTGCTGGACTATCTCTAGTTTGCCCATGTCTTTCTTGCACTGGCAAGCTCCAAACTGGCCACAGCACTCCTGGTACAATCTTGCAAGAGTCAAATAGAGGTAATAAATGATTTATCCCAAGCTTTTGACTATGCTTTTGCTAATACAGCCCAGGATGCATCTGGCCTTTGGTTCAAGAGTAACTTATTACTGATTCATGTTCAACTCCTTCACCACAGGACCCCCAAGTCCTTTTCTCCATGTTGGAACTTTATCCAGGACCTGATACCTCTCAGATATGCTTCCTTTTTTGCATATGAATTTAAAAATTTTAAAAATGCCAGACATCTACAATATCTGTTCACTTTGAATGGCTGTCTAAAAACTATTCTAGAAATTCAGGCCCTAAATTTTTACAACACTTACTTGTCAGTAGGAATAAAAAAGACAGAAATATCACAATCAATGAGAAAAAAATAGGAACTGAACCCATAAAGGTCACTTTTCACTCTTAGCTGCAAAGATCTGTTATTTCAGGTGTAGCAATGTCTAAATTCTTTTATTCATTGAGGTGTCACCTCTCCTTAGGCATGTAAAAATTTCTCCTTTACTTATGCACACCTAATGAGGATTAAATAAAGAGGCTTTTTAAAGCCCTGGACTCTGCAGAAACCAGTAGAGGTAGAAACATAAACTGCTTTAATATTCAGGCTTTTATTTTGGGACACAGTAGTAGTAAAAGTGTTGCTGTTCATACACTTTTCAGTGAAAATAGAATAAGTCACAGATGTGTTAAATGGTGTTCTATCTTTTAAGTTTCTTAACTTTTTTTTCTTTTAACTGACAGGTCAGCAACTCTACAGGTGAAATCCCATCTGAGGCCATAATTCTTTACTGGATCAACGTGCTGAGGAAGCACCATGGCATGACAGAGTAGCCAGGGGGATGTGGCACTGGTGACACTTCTGTTGGTGCATGTCCTTCCCAGATACCCACTGCTGATGTGGCAAGGAGTTGCCAGGGAATCCCTGAGGAAGGGATTCCCCTAAGCAAGTGCAAGATTCGGTTGGGTTTTGGGTTTAAAGCCACATTGTAACTTCTACTTGCCTTCTCTTCAATACTCTTAAGCCTTACAGACAAGGTTATGTGGTGGGACAGAACAAGGAAAGACCAATTCAGTGTTCAAAGGGAGGGTATGAGCCCTTCATGTTCAACTATAGAACTGGGCAAATGATGTAGTGATGAAATCCAAGTTTAGAAATCCTTGTTTATCTGTTTATGTTAGGGATGCTATAAAAAGCATATCACCATGGCATCCCAGCTCTTTCCAATTAAAGAAAAGTATTTCTACCATTTACTTAGCAACTTTGACAATAGCCTACAGCAGCAGTAAAACAACTTGACTGCCTGGCATTTCACAAGATAAATTCTTCAGTATGGTCTGTTTTTTCTTGCACTGTTGCTTGCAAAGACTTAAAAAGTTACTGCTTCTTCAGCGACTGAGACTGGTATTGTTACACTCATTTGAGCTATGGATCACTAGGTACACTTTGTACCTTCACACGCCAGTTTGAGAAAAATCAATTTTAGTCTCGAAGAGATGAAACTAGTGTTGCAGAAGATCAGTGCACATTTCCAGGTGCTGCAGGGCACTGGCATCTTAACGTGGATTCAACAAAACATGACATAGGTATGGTGCAAAATTGCTTACTCTTATGCTAAGAGGCCTTCTGAAAAAAATTACAGAGTAAATCACAGTACTGTGAGGAAGTCTAAGGCACAGCAGCTGCAGTAAACACTTCTAAATTATTTACAATCTTAGAATTAAAAACGTGATTTATGTTAGTAACCATAAATTACTATGCTAATAAATGTTATAGGTATAATAGATAAAAACAGATAATATTTGATATAGAGATTAAAAATAGCATATAGTTGATGTTGAGGAAAGAAGCAGTTTGTACATAATAATGTTTAGAAGTATTTAAAATACTTCTGTCCAGTTAGAGCTTGACTGTTACCTAACATGGAGATAATGTCAAAACAGTTAATCTTTTTCTTGATTTACATTTTAAATTTCTGCATCACTTTTATATATCTGCAAAATTTGAGAAAGGATCATTTCCTTTCTTTGTCCTGCTCTATTACTACGCAGATAGACAAGTTAATTTCCAAATTCCCTTTTTGTAATTTAGAAGTGGGTGTACCCTTCACTGTCTGAGGGACTCAGATTGCACTTCCATGGGATATTAACTGTTCTTTCAGTGAGCACAGACCAGAAATGCTGAGTCCGGATAAGACATTCTGCTGAACTTATATAAATGCTCTCTGCCAGATCATATTTATTAACATTTTTGAAGGAGTAACTTTGTCTCAGAAGAGGTTATGCTAGATCATGTATTATCTGTTTGTAAAAATCTAACTTAATGCTGGGTCAGGTATTGTCTCTTTTCCTGCAGCTGATATAAGTCAGATGTGTTCTGGTCTAAAGGATAAACCAGTATATATATTTCACTGTGCATTCAGGCTGACTTGATGCAGATATGTGCTTCTGTCTGGACTCCTACCAGCTGGAAGCAGTTGCTGCTCCCCCAGCCTTTCCTCCTCTTCCTGTCAATATTCCCCGTAGAAGGTAATCCTTTTTCTAATCTGCTGGATTTTCTTACCTTTGTGCTTCTTAACTAAATGATCCAAGTTAACAAATAGAGCATGCATAGTAGAATTTTGCTAATCAAACTGATTGGAACTGAAACAGGTTTGGAATTGCTTATTCAAGCAGGTCCACTGGGAGATTAGTGGAGGCAGTAACCTCTAACTACTGCAGCAGGCCCAGGGTGGTAATTATTTCACCAGTGTTGATCTGGCTGGAGAAGGATATATGAAAACAGCTTAAATGACAAACAGGGTATAGATCCTATATAAATATAGATTGGAGCTTTCGCTCCATTTCCCAGTGGAAGCACTAAATTTGCAGCCAACTGCAGGCTCAAGAGCAAAACCAAAAGAACAAAAAGGGAGGTTGTGTAAATAGATTTATGCAAGGATTTACTCCTTTTTTTTTTTTTTTTCAGTACACTTTCCCAGGAAATATTGTTAGACAAGAAGGAATGATATTGCAATACACTCTGTATTCTTCCTATAACAAATATAGGTTTGTGCAGAGAGAGTCAGAACTTGCCTAGTCATACCAGCTTTGTATGTGCTGTTTGAAAGAAAAAGGCAGGTGAAAATACACTTGCAAATAGCAGTTCTGTAGAACAAGCTGGATAAAGCATTTATAAAACAAGACCAATTTAAGAAATTCCAAGTATATAAGTGACTCAACATGATCATAAATCTGATCTTCATTGAAACTGAAGAACAAGCAAGGATGTTTAAAGTGTTGCATTATGAAAATTCTGGATTTTTTTCTTATTGTTTCCTTTAAAAACACAGCTGGTGATGATGACAAGGGTTTTGTGACAAATTATTTTAACATTTAAACATTTTACTCAGTGTAACTGGACACTTGTAACTTATCGTAATGATTTATGAGTAAAAACCCACCAGTGTTAAAATGTTCATATCTTTTCTGTAATTCTGGCAAAGATTTTCTAAACGATAATATTCTCCTTTTGTATTTCAGGGTTCCTATAGCACATAGCATGTTTGCATTTGTTCCTACAAGAAAAATTTCTCGATGACATAACCTTCACTTTATCCTCCTTTTCTTTTTTGAAAATACCTTTGAGCACAAATCATTGATCTGTTTTTTTTTTACATTACTAATACTATGATACTCTAGTTACAGATAATTTTTATCACAAGTAATTGTATTTGTAATCTAATTATCTAAAATATTGTCAGGATATGCAGTCTTGCTCAAATTACCTTTTACCGGGAGCTAAGTTTCTGTAGACAACATGTATACTCAATATATTTCTTTTCTCATAAAAGGAAGTTGAAAGAAGAATCCCTTTATCTTGGAGGGGGGTGCTGTTGTTCTATTTTTGTTAACAAGAGATGTATCAGGAGCCTGGTTGATAGATTAGGTCATCAGGAAAATAAAGAGGAATTTAGGGCAGTGTAAGACCTGTCCATTCATGGAAATCACTGTGGAGAGGTGGATCAATGGGTTATGTTTTCAAAAAAGCAGTGCAGGAAGGATGGGTTAAAGCTTTGCTAATATTGTCCATATGTTATAAGCCAGAACCAGTGGACCATTTTAATGTTGTGTTTCCCTGAGGTAAGAAGTGTTTGCCGTTGGAATTCAAGCTCTTTTATTTCCATCTTATTTTGCTTAATTAAGAAATCTGCTGTATTTGAAGAGAAAAATTCCTGCTTCCTCCATTAGAAATGAATCACTCTGCTCAAAATCAAGTGGAACAATGTAAACATTTCCTGGAAATCCTCATTGTGTTTCTGTGTCATTAACTGTCAAACAATAAAATTTATCTGCTGAAATTATGGTTGTGGAAACCCACTTATGTGAGCCCTAGCATGTAATTCCAGACTGTTGTCATGCTGTTCAAGAATTGTTCTTCATATATATTGGCTTTTCTGTGACCCTGTGACCATATGCTTAAAAGTTTATTTTCAGGAGCTGAATCAGTTGATAAGACTGAGTTATATTTACATTATCTCCACTGTTACACTTAGAGAAAGCAAAACTCAGTTTTGGAGATTTTCCTAATTAGTCATCACCTTGAATGGAGTGTGCTGGAGGAAGATTGCCTCAACCACAGTCTATTTTTCATTGTTTTCTATTTATTTCATATTTTGAGACTAATGCTTAGAGTAGCATTACTGCTCATTACCCTGCTTAGCACTAAACTGTTTCCACTAACTGGTAGAATCAGGTTTTTTTTGAGAAAAATGTACTTTTTCTCTTAGTTTGCTGTTTCTAAACTCAAAAAATACATCACCTGACATTTTCTTTTTTTTTTTTGCATTTTCTACAATACTATAATTGCTGTACAATGCTAAAATTATCTGTGCTTTCAATTATAGGTGATTTCAAAATTAGTTGATTTATAGAAAATATTGTTGAATATATCTAAAACAACCTCACCCCCATTCCCTTCCACATATAGGAAAAGTAAACCCACATTTTTTTCTGTGTTTCTGTTCTTACTGCCTTATATAAAAAGCAGAGCTTTTTCTCCTCTGATTATCCCCTGTATTACTTCAATTTAGGACATCTTTGAAGAAGCTACTCTAGGCAGCTAACATATAAGGAACTGAGAACTCATAAATTAATTAGATAATCTCCTTCCTTGCCTCAGCTTGCTCCAGTGAGTGCTCTTTTTTAAAATCTCATCAGCTTGTTTTGACTTGTAGTGGCTATTCAGAAGGATCTATAACTTTTGCTGTTAATGCCCAGCTGTGCAGTCCATAGTTGCAATGATTGACTTTGCTCTGTTGAATCCTGGGGTAAAGGTATCTGAGCACATTTGGATGGGAGTTATTTTAAATATTGGCTGAAAAGATGGTAGATCATGGAAGGTTAGAAGTCCAAAAATGTGAATTCAATTTATTTTATTCCAGCTTAGCACCATTCATCACACCTGGTATTTTCCCTGTTCTGTAAACAGCAAACGTATCAGGCATTGAATCAAAACCAAACCTAAACTGTAGTTACACCTTTACAAGGAATAGATTAGCTTGTCAGAAATTCATTAAAATGATAATTTGTGAGTGTTTTAATGGAATTATTTTGACACATAGACAGAAGACGCAACAGAAGGAAACAAGAAAACCGTGAGTTAGTTACTTGAACTTAAAAACCACAGCTGAAATATCAAAAGAAAAAATTTGTGTTTATTTTTGCTTCAATACTTGTGACACGTCTCACAGATATATCATCTTTACCTATGGTGCTATAAAAGACCTTTTTGAAACATGAAATATTGTGAGAAAAACAATGCTGTTATATTAAGCATCTTTATTAATATGGATACTTTGTGATTTAGCTGTGTCTAACTTCAAAACATGATGTTTTGGAAGACATAGTACAACCAGAATTTAGAATGAATGTGAGAAATAACTATTTGGGGATGGATATTTCACTGACAATTCAAGTTTAATCCTTATTCAAATTGAATTTCCTTTGAGAAAGCTTAAGGCCATCAATCTATTATCAGACAACAAAACTGACTATTACTCATTTGAGTTGTTATTTTTTTTTATTAAACCTGAAAGAAGTATGGTGAATGAATGTGTTTGTAAACCAGCCTGCAAAAACACAGCAGATTGATAGTCATGTTTAATTTGGTAAGAAAAGAGCTTTAGTGCAGTTTGTGTTTTCAGATCTCTTTGTTCCTAACGCACCTCAGTTCTCATTCCTCAGTTCTCATTTTGTGCAGGGCAGGGAGTCATGTCTGATGTCACTTCCAACCCAAACCATTCCACGATTCTAAGATCATCTCATTCCAACCCCTCTGCCACTAGACTAGGTTACTCCAAGCCACATCCAGCCTGACTTTGAACATCTCCAGGAATGGGGAGTCCACAACCTCTCTGGGCAACCTGTGCCAGGGCATCAGCACCCTTACAGTAAGACATTTCTTCCTAATATTTAATCTAAATCTACCTTCAGGTTAAGGCCACTGACTTTTATCAGTCATTTCTTCAGTCTCCTCAGGCTTCACTCTGCTGACAAGTGGTTGGGATCTGCAGCCTTGCTCATCTCTGTTCTGTACCAGTAACAACTTCCTTAGCTCTGAACCTCTACTTTATGTGGACAGTATTGTTTTCCTCCCCTTCTGCTCTTTAAAATAATATTAATTTGTTTATTTTGCCAAAAAAAAAAAAAGGCTTTTGGGGGAACAGCCATAGATACTAATTAAGATAGTTACACATTAATAGATTGCTTTTCTAGAGGTTTAAAAGTCTCTGTACATTGTAAAGTTAAAATTAATCCTCTTCCAGTGACATGTAAATGAGGACAGGTATTATTTGGAAAAGAGGAGTAAAACCCATAGCCTCTACCTCATTAAGTTATTTTGGTATATAACCATAGTAATCAGTGTGGCTAGAGGATGAAACAGATGCCCAATATTATGATTAAGGATATGTTTATACATATGTTTTGAAAGAAAACTCCAGAGACCAGGACATGTCAGGAGTCTATATCCAGGCAGTTCTTCTGAGCAGATAGGGTACAAGAATGACATTGCTCACCTCCTTTCTTTTTATGAACAATACTTTAAGGAATAAAACTCCACACTAAACCAGCAGGAATCCAGCTGATAGGGTTTAGTCTGAATGTGCTCCTCAGTCACAGCAGAAGCAGCACTTCAGGTAGATTCAGTGTTAATTTTTTTTCCCCAGATAGTTTTAACATTGGGATTTTGCATGAATTTCAAATGTTAAGTATACTAGTGATACAATAACACAAAATGATTAATGGCCTATCCTAAGAAATGTGTCATGTCAATAAAACTGTTTTTTAATAGCACTGTTGCAATTCCCAGTTGAAAGAATTTCAGGAGTCAGTTAAGACAAAACCTATTTTTCTTTATCAAAATTGCTTAGCAGTTCTGTACCTGAGCATAGAGGACAGAATGGGCTCAGTAACTACACAGAGGTTTATTGCCACTCTGCTCCCATTCCCTTACTCCTTACCAGGGAAGAGTACAAAAAAAAAAATATTGCTTGGAGTTCCTTTCCTACACCTCCTATAAATCCAGTAGCCAAACTAAACTCTAGTGCAAAACAAGGCTGGAAATATCACTGACTTTAAGCTATCAGAATACAGGAGCCATGTGCCCAAATACACTAATTGGAATATTGAAAAAGGTTTTTCCTTTGTGTTTTTGTGGTGTGACCAATAGTAGGAGGCTCTGGGTTTCTTTAATAGACTTCCTCTACTTTTTGAAAATTTAATTATTTTCCTTTGGGAAATCTACCCTGTCTGTAAAATCCATGTGTCTTCTTTCTTTCTCACCTGAAAGTGCCAGTGGGCCCATGCTCCTGTAAATATATAAATTCTGGCACTGCCACAGCCTGGGGTGAACTGCTGGGGTTCTAAAGCACAGGCCTTAGTTCAAATTAGTACACTAAGCTGTAATATGCCACATGGATTGTTTTGCTGTATGTTGTGGGACACTTGTCTATTCTAGGTTCATACATGCAAATTAATATTCCTGGCCCACCAGTTCAGCACACAAGTCATGTTGGTTTGGTGAACTCCTCCCTTCCGGTGGTGGTGTGTCTTTCACTTGGAAATTAGTCATAGATTTGATTGAAGGTGATGATGTTTTCAAGTTATTGCATTACTACGATACTCATTTCTTTAGCCAGAGTTTGTGCCCCCAAGAAGGCAGATGCAGCTTTCTGGGATCAATTAGACCTGGTAAAGAGAGAATAGTTAATAAAAGTGAAAAACAAAACAAAAACCTCTAGATCTCTGGAAATGTTGCTGCTGAAAAGCTCAAAAATTATAATACTCAAACTGATTGTATGAAATTTCCAGCTGTTAAAAGCTGAACTTGATTCCTTCTTTAATCACTGTGAACCCATAATACATGTCTAAAATTAAAGGTCATCCACTCATCCAGGGTCCTACAAATGTGCTTTAGCATTAAAAGGTTTACAATTGAAATCCACCAGGACTGGAAGGTACCAGCAGAGCCTGTAGGGTTGAACAGACTAGGGCTGTTTCTAGTCAACTTAATACATTTTATCTGTGTAGAGGCACAGCACGAGGGGTGTTCCCTAAAGGAGAGGAGCTGGGTACGTTGATGCAGTTGGGACCTCATCTCACAGTTCCCATGCCTGGGGATGGCATCAGGTCCAACACTCTGTGGGGCCAAGCTCAGGGTCAGGTCCAGTGATGCTGCCCATGGTCAGCTACATCCCAGTGACCTCCAACCAAATCTGCAGTGTCCGAGGTGAGCCTGGGAAGCCAATCCATGTCTTGGTGCAGGTCTGGATCGATTGGACCCACAGTTGTGCACAGCCCCATCTGTGACACAGCTGGTGCTGCAGTTCAGGCTGGAGCCAAGCACGAGAGTGTCAACTCATAAGCAGTTCCCAGAGGAAGGGGGGCTCAACCCTGGCTCAGCCCCCCCAGCAGGGCTGTCTGGGGATGGGGGCAGCCCAGAGCTGTGCCACGGCTGAGCAGTCCCTGAGCCCTGGCAGCAGGAGTTCCAGGAAGGGGGAAGCTCTTAAGGCCATTACACTTTGATGCATTAATGTTTGGGAGAAATCTGCCTATTTCTTTGCTTAGAATGATTTCTTTACCAGCAGAGCGGAGACTCTTTCTTTACATTTCTGTCGAAAAACAATTGGTGTGTCATGTTGCATTATGTCATATCATGTGGGGAAACACGAGCTGACATACTGTAACCGAAAGGTATTTGAACATATCATGTCAGGAACTAGAAGAAGGAATACATGCTCTTTCTCTCTTTATCTTGGCAGAAGTTCT